ACAATGATGCTGTCATTGCAGCTGTAAGAAAGTGGCTAGCCTCTGCTGGCGCAGACTTTTACGGACGCGGCATACAGGCTCTTGTTCATCGCTGGCAAAAGTGCATAACGAAAGGTGGTGATTATGTGGAAAAATAACTGTAGGTACCTGAAATCTTACTCTATTTAACTGCGTTATTATGATTTCTGTATCTGTCGTAGTTTTCTTTAAAAAAATAGGAGGCATTATACACGGAACACCCTTAGTAGTTTTAGCTGAAAACGCTAAACTACCAGTTTACGGGCTGGATTAATCTGGCGTAAAAGAGCATCAACCGTGGATTCTTGTGTACACGGTAACGAATCTCCGTGTTCGATCCCTTAAAAGTCGAACTTTTTGATCCAGTGAGATACCGATACCGTATCAGGAAGGGCTGTACTCCATTTCGACAAATTTGTTAGCACAAAATCATAAACGACTATGAAAATTAAATGAAACTGTATTTCTTTCGTAAATTTATTCGCACTGTCAAGTGTTCCTATTCTACTGTACAGCTCACAGTGAAGTGCAGTGCTTACAGATTTTACTGGGGTTTTGGAATTTTTCCATCTTCCGAAATTCTAGGTACTACAGGACACTCTGGGTAAAAGAGTACCCGACGTTTCGGAAACTGCATCGGTTTCCGTCTTCAGCTGAGAAAGTAAGACATCTACTCAGTTGGGCCCCTTAGAAAGAGCTAATCTAAAGTAGTAAGTAATTCAGTGGAAGTGACTAAATTTTAATTTACGTAGTTACAAGGTTTAGAAAAAAATTAATCATTAGTTATCCAGCTAGTTTTAATTGTAATTAAGTTCGGGGTTACCCACTCTCTTACGTAGTGGATGGGGGCGTGGAGGTATCCCCACCGCTTCCACCACTGTTACGCCCTTACACCCTTATGACGGGGGTGGATGGGTTATCTCACCGCTGTCTCCACTGTTATGCCGCCGCTACACCACTATTATGCCGTGGTGACAGGGGGCTCTGTCACCCGGTTTAGTAAGCTGCCACCATCTTGTTATATCAAGAAAACTAGTAAACTTAGCCTTGCTTACGTCAGTGTCCTGGCTTAACTCGTAATTCGCCGAAGCTTTGGGAGGTCCTGGAGTCGTCAGGGAAGAGGGTAACACGTAAGGAATTGCTAGGTTGAAGTAAACTCACACACATGCCTATCCTATTCTATTTCCCTATGTCACTATATACATGCTATATACACACTTACCGACGTTCGTCGGTTGTATTACACTGGATAATGAACCTGCAGCCATCATTAGTTCTACCTCCTGTCAACCTACTGGCGGGTATTTTACGCCTCCGTATCTCTGAATGAACCTAGTCCATCTAGTTAGCCTATCTTTCTCTGGGGTTTACACTTTACAATTATCACTATCACACTTAATGTTCATGGCTATATGGAGTTGGTTTCACCTACTTGAGCTGAGAAAACAGATGCTCGCCATCACCAACCAGCCCTCTCCTTGCCATCGCCCTCTCGGCGATAGCCTCTGGCTGAAATCTCTGTCACATAATAATGTTAAAAAGCCAAAAGGCAAAAGGTTTTTTGATTAAGTCTTCTAGGGTTTATATAACCTCTCTTTGCTGATTCTTCGTGTTCCGGGTATATTGGCCTGCCAATTCTGACGTGATTTTGGGTCGGTGTGGCCCCCTCATTGGTTGCCTATCGAGAAGGGGCTGACTCTCTCGGGTCTACCGCCTCCTCCGACTCAGCGTTTTCCTCCTGCCATAGTGTTTATGACCTACTTCATATAGCTTCTTCCTCAATGTCAGCGTTATTACGCTGCCGTGCTAGCATTCTAATGACTCAGGTATTGCCTGTTCCACTTCTATGTAAACCCAAGCTTCCTGGTTCGTTTCATCATGGCTGTTCTTAAACTTACAGTGTAGCTACTATTATTCCACTTTTACCCCCCAAAAAACTATATCTACAAGTACCTGACCCTTGCGCCGTTACACACTCTTTAATTAACAAATAGAAAAAAATAACCGGACGTAGCATATATAAATAAATCAATGAAAGAGCTATTAAAAGAAGCGCTTGGAGATTATGGCTGTAAACCGATCCTAAAAATGTAGCAATATGAGCCGAAGGTGGTCTGAAGAAATAAACACGGGAAACGACTGATGAACACGCAACTAGCAGCAGGAGTGTAGATGTTTATGGCAAGATACGATACGTACTTTTATTTCATACATAAAATTAATAGCTGCGTAACTAGCGGCTCCTCAAGGAGGGCTCAGCTCCGTTAAGCTAGTTAGTTAAATAACTTAATTAAGCTAACTTAGCGAGATTTGAGTCTACAGCTCTCTCCATCTCTGTTGTTGAACAAGAAATCGAGCCGACTCTCACACTGAAGAGAATACTCTAGGTTAGGCTTGTCAACCGAACGCGACCTTAAATCCCTGAAGGTGTAAGGTAAAGCTGTCTTAATTAAGCACCACGCCATGAAGGCGTATGGGGGAATGGAAATGCAGCTCCACCATTCTTGACCTCGACACTCGATGGAGGTGAGTGGTTAGCTTCACACCCTGGCCGCTTAAACACCGGAGAAAGAGTCCCCGGTACTCATTTGATAATAGCCTAGGTGGGCCCTAGAGTCGGTCTGGATGCTTTGGAGTAGAGATATTTCTCATGTCCCTACCGGGAATCGAATCCTAGCCTGTCACTATTCCGACTGAGCATCCGAAACAAAAATAAAAATGCATAATCACCCAGTCAGTTCGCCATAGGCTGCTCTTCTACCTACCGTATCAAGACTCTCTGGCTATCGCTGCTTAGAAACCTCTCTCCCAAAAGTTAATCTATTGTGCCACGTAGTTACCACACGGACCGCACAGATAACATGGTTTTCCATTTACTCCATTGTTTCGTGTTACGAATCTGTTGCAGCCGCTACATAGCAACGGCTGTTGTATAGATGCTTACTTCGCGGTCGTTGACTTGCAACGGGCCTACATGCCACAGTATCACGTGAAACTACAGGGAGGTAGCCGGATGTAGTTCGGAAGGAAAATCAATAATGTACCTGTTAGCTGAAACGGTTCTGCAGCCGAGATTCGAACCAAATTCGGCTCCATCTTCTAGCCCTGTTATCCTGCTTCGTAACTGATTGGTACTGACAAGTTCGGGAACTTCTTAAAATTAAACAGCATCCTACAGTTATAAGTAACATATAAGAAATAAGCTCTGTCTGACTAAACTAAGAATGCCAGCCAGAAACTGGTGATCGCTACATTCATGTCCAAGAGGCAGCTGGTTCGAATCCAGTCGCACTACTGGCTATCACGACCGGCGTTCACCTTCTAGATCCTTACCAACTGGTCAACAGTGGTCATGTTCTCGTCCCATTCCATGTCATAACATATGTAGATGAAACAGTGTCGTTAAATAACTTTAGTGAGAGAATTTAAACCATAATCTCGGAATAATTCAGTGGAAGAAATATCCCTACGATTCTGAGCTTCTCGTATAAAAACACATAAAAATATAAGAAACTAAAACTTAACCTGTTGTTCTGTATGAGTGTGAAACTCAGTCTGTCGCCATAAGGAAATAGCATAGAGTGAGCGGGTTTCAGGGATGGATAGTAAATGGACTCTTGGATCCCCGTAATGGGAAGATGACGAAAATTGCATAATCAGCGTCATAATTTGTACCACTCAACAAATGACGAAACATTGGATGGGTGCGACATGTAGCATGCAGAATTGCAATGATAACGGTGAAAGTGGTCTTACAGAAACATGATAGGCCTGCAGTTGTGTGGATGGATTCAGTTGGCTCAGGATAGGGCCCAGTAACGGGTCCTCATGAATACAACAATGAATATGCAGATTCAAAAAAAAAAAAGTGTGAAATTTTCGACAAGCCAAATGACTATCAGCTCTGAAGCAGAACCCTGCTGAATTCAGTTAGATTCAAACCTCTAACCCGATGTGTTACTTTTGTTCGCAGCCTCCACAACCTGCAGAACCATGGACCGGTGTGCTGGACGCTACCAAGGAAGCCCCTGTGTGTGTCCAGCGAGGGCTCTTCCCCAGCGATGTAGAAGTCAGAGGACAGGAAGACTGTCTCTACCTCAACGTCTACACTCCACGGGTAACGTTCTCTTCCACGGATCATAAGCCGACCTGATCAGTTGGCTTTCCCACCACTGTCCTCTCGCTGATGGAGCACACGGAACACAGATTTGTATCCAGTTGTGTAGAGCAGTGGTTTCCGAAAGGGTTTATATTGAGCGTTTATTAATGTGAATAAAAATATTCAGAAGTCTCCAGTCTATACAAACTTGACTTAATTACGTCTCAGAATTACTCTTTTAGCCTAATTGAGCTCTTTTGAAATAATGAGAGGAGACTTATGAAGTCAGCATACTGTCGGTCTGCTTATGCCTCTGTGTCTATGTATCTGTTTGCGTCTGTCCGTCTGTGTATCCCCCCACCCTAACCTTCTTAGGAGGCTTATGAGATCAGCTTGCTGTTTGTTTCGTTTTCTAAGCGGTCCGCGTTGCGTGAAAACAAAGCAGGAGATTAGCTCCCCGACTTCTTGATTGTTGGACTCTATGTTTCGGACTCAGTCTGGCTTTCTCTGGCCAATTCATGTGCATGATAGCCAGGACTTTAGTAATTTCAGCTGCCGCCGGAGAGCGCTTAGCTGCAGATCTGAGAAACGCTAGCGCAGAGCATGCGCCATATTTGAAGCCGCCTAGCAATCAAAGCGTCTCTCATTTTGTGGGAGTGGGATCCGAACGAACTTCATTACATTATGAGGAGGGAGGGATACTGAGAGGTTTTCCTCAGCTATCCTCTCTCTCACTTCCAACGTCCTCGTCTTAATGCTGTAAGTGTAACTGAAGCAGACCGCATGCATTTCCGGAAGGTCCTCATGTAGCACAAGTAAGAAGGCAAAAATATCCCTGGGCTTCATTAATTAAACACCATGAAGACGTATGGGATAGTGGAGGTACAGCTCCATCATTATTAACATCGGAAATAGATTCAGGTTAGTGATCAGCTTCACGTTCCTGCCGCTTCAACTCCGGGAATACAGCGCACGGTTCTCATTTTATAAGAGGCTGGGTGGGCCCCAGAACCGGTCTACACATTGTGGGAGAGACAAAATTCTTTTCTACTGCCGAGAACCCAACCTCGGTTCCTTGACAGTCCAGCCCGCAACCTGTTGTGCCGAATTATCTATCATTAAAATAGTAATTAGAAGGTGAAGTTGGTTCTGTGTTTAGCTAATTAAGCACTACGCCGTGAAAAGGGGGGGTGGAGTAGAGATCCACATTTTCTTTGAGTGGTCAGCTTCATGCCCCTGCCGCTTTATCACCTAGGAAAGAGCCCTCGGTACCCATTTGATAGGAGGCTGGTTGCACCACAGTGCCGGTCTGGACGACGTTGAGAAGAGAAAGTTCTTGACACTACAGGACTCGATCTCCGACCCCC